AACTTCCGCATTTGACTATGTATTTAAAAAAAGTATTTAAGTACATAGTTCTAATATAATTTGTCTATACTTATTTATACTTTGTACATGTTCAGTTTATTTTATAACTATATACTATTTTAACGAAATTACCATGTTTTACAATACAAGAAAGCATATATAATTTATATATTCATAAAAATATTCTTAAAATGAATTTAAAAAGTCCTTATTAGTTTTGGAATATTCGCCACTATTCGCCACATATCCATACTAAATATATAAATAATGGTACATTATTAGAAAAGCCGCACTATCTCAGAGTAATAAAAACTATTTTACTTTGCAAAAATGATTTTCACAAGGGAAAGTGAAATTGCGTGTTCGCGCCAACCAAGCCGCGGCAAATTGCCTAAGTGCAATAAACCGCTCAAAGCAATATCCATATCACGATCAATCTATCAATACCTACGTCACAGATAAGAAAATACTACATACCTATGTCTATAACAATATGTAGGTTCATACCCCGTCATGTCATTTATTTTTCCAGAATAATTTCCTGTCGCTCCACTTTCTTTTTTTTTTTTATGTCATTGGAATGCCAATCAAACTGATTATAAGTGATAACCTTTGCTTATGTGATATCAGTGATACACATCATTATCTTACTAATATACTAAACATTCCTCGTATCCTGTAATTCATAACAAAACAAACAATACACTTTTCATGACCGCCTCAATAGTCTAGCGATTTGCACACTAGAAATACTTCCGGTTTTTACAGCTTGTATTCTTGAGTGACAACAATTACTGTTGTTTATTTTGCATGGGGTGTATTCTTACAAAATATATAAGAATTTTTGTCAGTTGCTTAGTAACAATAAGCTCTGCTTAGGTTGAGAAAAGGTAACGCGGCGTGAATTATTCTGGGTTATTATTATTAATTGTACTATATTATTTTCGGATAAATGAATAACAGTACAGGTGGGAAATAATTATGTTTTTTCTAATGAACTATTATAATACACAACAATGAATCCTACAATAATAGCTTCATAAAGGAAATCATGATGAGTATCTTCCTCTCATTACTTCAGGGAATTTCTCCATTATTGAAAGATAATAACAGATCAATCGGCTTTTTCGTAGTTTAGTAACACGCGAACCTGTAATAAGGAACCTTTTTTTTAATCGACAGATTCGTAATTTACTGTCCGATACAGGCTACTTCGTCTGCTTTTTTAAATAAAAGTGTTTGTATTCCGGAAATTGATCATCATACAATTGAACCTTAATGCAATAAATTATTAAAACAGGTTGAAATCAAGTTGCTTGGTGATCGACATACTCATCCATACTAAATTATACTAATATTATAAATATGATTCTGTATCTGTCTATTTGTCTGTCTATCTGCTAGTTATATTTTCACGACTGAACGGATGTTAACGATGTTTGATATGGAGATCAAGTGTATCACGAGTGGACCATACATAGATACATAGCCTACGTTTTATTATATAATAATATTACAAGCTACCCACCCCGATTTCGCACACGTGTATATATATTATACATATAAATCTTCCTCTGGAATTACTCTATCTATTAAAAAAAACCGCGTCAAAATCCGTTGCGTAGTTTTAAAGATTTAAGCATATATTGTATGCTTAAATCTTAAAAACTACGGGACAGACAGCGACAGCGATTTTCTTTTATACTGTGTAATAATGATGTTATCTGTGCTTTTACCAAAAAGGTAGGCTGTCGCTGTAGGTGATGACTAGTTTTATCTATCTATCTATATCTATAAATGTTCTAAGGAGAGGGAATTGTTAATAATGAGAACTAGACTTCAATATAGAACTATCAATGTATCATCGTCAACTGGTGCCCCGCTACAGTACCATTAGTGTAACTGAGTACACCATTCCATACACAACCGCAGAAAATCCAAGATTAACTTTAATTATTTTAAAAAAAAACACTCTTAAAACCTTTTTGAAAAAAGTGTCAAAAGAAGACGAAAGCAAACTGCTTAGCGACAGATTTTGTACATATATCTCTCTTACTACCTAGCATCATCCCATTACAATTGGGTCGACTTTCCTAGTCATTCTTTAGTAGGCACATCTGTCCTGGATTGTCGAGTCGTATATTTGGATTTTCAACAGGTATTTATAATAAAAGACTACCAAGTCTCTTTAGGTTTGTGTTAAGATTCGAGTCATGAGTCTCTTGTCGTCTCTTTACGTAGTCATACTACCTCAGCCGTGTACCGGTGAGTTTAATCTATACATATAAATATAATTGGATTGTCTGTTTCTAATAACCGATTTTACTACATGCATATGAATATAAATTCCGTACATTCACTAAAATAACATTTTTTACAATTTTTGTCTGATTTTTCCGGCTAATCTCTGAAATGGCTGGAACGATTTTGACGTGACTTTTTGTGGCAGATAGCTGATGTAATAAAGAGTAACTTAGGTTACTCTTATTTTAGTATAATAAAATTAAATTCTACGCGGACAAAATCGCGGGAACAGCTAGTTATATATAACGAATATATATATATATATAGTATATACATTCGTTAATAAAGAAATGAGATACAGGTACAGAGTACATACAGAGTCTCCCTCGTGAGTTTAATTTAAACAATACAATGTGTGGTTACAATTCGCAGACCGTATTTAATTTCAGTCTACATGAGCTGTACCAAAATATTTTAATAACATTCACACTAACGGAATATGTCTCTGGGAGAATAACATGGCGCGTGTCACTACGTTATTGCGGTGACTGTCTGGCTTTATGTGGATAATAGTTTTAAGGCTCTGCTTTTTCCGTGAAACTAGAGAATATATATTAGGTTCCATAAATTTAAAATTTCTATATAAACTAAACTAGCTGTGCCAGCGACTTCGACTGCGTGTTATAGTGATTTTCATCAAATAATGTAAAATAAATTCAATAATCTAACCCATAAAAGCCAAAGAAAAAAATTACGTCGTCTTAGCTTCATAAATAACGATTTTCCATACAAACTGTCACGATCTATTTTATTTTACTCTCTTAAGTGTAAAATTTCAAGCTTCTATCATTAGTAGCTATGCCCTTTCTCAGGGTCTAAACCATCTGTTTACCAAATTTCGTTTAAGTCGGTCTAATAATTTTGGCGTAAAAGAGAGACGGACAGATAGACAGAGTTATTTTCGCATTTATAATATTACTAAGGATTAGGTCACATACAAGAAAGTGTGACATTCTATATATATATATAACAAGGGAGTGAAAGAGAGAGAGAAAGATTTGTATAATTTTTTTTTTATGTGTATTGCTCCTAGTATTAAATCACGAAATTTTAGCTTATAAACAAGTGACTAGCTGTAATGGAGAAGGGGCTAATAAAAAATACTATATAGATGAATGAAATTTGCAGAAAACTGGAGTCTAAACTTGATGAAAGATCTGTACTTAGAAATGCACTTTGCTATCTCATTGTGTTATAAAAATTGAATCAAAGTATAATAACAAATGAAAATTATAATGAATAAAATTAAACAGTATTTATCAGGATAAAGAAAGTCTATCTGCACCTCAAATATTTTCTGTATATTTTACAAACTTCTGACGACGAGTTGATTTGTCTAACTTGTTTCCTACAAACAAACTCAGTTTCGCATTTATATAATTTTAAACTCATATAATAAAAAAATTACATTAATAACATTAAGATTACAAAATCGGCGACATACTTTCTTTTTAAATAACTTAACTGATTATAAATATTTGTTAGATATATATGCATATATATAAGTTAAGTATCTTATAAAGGGAAATAAAAAGTCACATTCATATTTACGTTTGTATCGGATTGCCGAAATAACCTATATTGTTGAACATTTAAGCATTCAGTTGTAAGCATAATATCAATTCTTGGCAATTTTCCGAACCAGCATGCAAAATTAGATTGAAATTAAGTGGAACAACTACAAATCCGTATGGATTTAAAACACATTTTTTGTATTTTGTTTGGCGAGTTAAAAGGAATTGAAGGTACTTTACTTATTCCTGCACTATTTTAGTAAAGATATCTATTTTATTAAGGCTTAAACTTTATATAGTAAGCATACTTTTATTAAAGACAAGTGGTATCTGGGACTTCGTCTGCGTTTACGTGATGAACGTAATGAAACAACAACAATAAATAAAGAATTTAAACAAATGCCATCTTTCATTTTAATAATAAATTAATTAATATAGTGGTTATAACTAATAAGAAAAAATTACAAATGTATCTATGCTCAGATTTCTTCAGTCTATACACATGCTAGCCTATATTTCTTTGTGAAAATTTTATCCTAAATTTTTCAGCCGTTTTATTGTGAATTATATTTAATGTAAACAATTAATAAAACAAATTTAATAAGTGAAACACCATAAGTAAACAACATAAAATCAAGTTATTTGTACATATTAGAATCTGATCTTACTCATTTGTACAAAGTTATAGCACAATAAAATCACATTATATCGGAACTAACAAATGGCGTCCAAAATCCTTCCAGAACATTCATTCCTTTTGCGAGTAATGAAGCAAAAAATATAGAGTCCTCCGTTTTCTTGCGTCGACCATAATATAAAACATCTGTGTATAGAATTTTCTCTTTGATCCATCACATTACTCTGCTTTTGTCCGATGAATACAGTTTATAAATACAGTTTGAATAATACATAAATATACAAGACTAAAAAAGTCGAACTATAAAAAGAGTTCTATTTGTATTCATACCGGTAAACGTATCTTTATAACAAAAGCGAAATATGTTAGATACATTACGTGGAAATATAATATTATGCTTTGTGATAATGGAATATGATTGAAATAACAATAGAATTATCTACTCAGTTTTGTTTTACGTAAAATCGCTATTTTGACAAAATAGCGATTTTTGAGAGAAAGGAAAAACAAAATCATCTATTATAATATACAGCTAAAGCCTTTTTATTCTTCTTGATGAAAATTAATGATAGATCGCTTGTATTGGAGTATATAAAAGCTTGTCCGCAACAGTGTGGGCACTATTGTCCGTCGTATACACGGAATCTTTTGTCGATTGTCTGGGAACCCATTTAAAGTTTTTTTTATACATTAGTTACAATCTACTACGGAATTTTTTGTATTGCTCCCCATTGAGCAGGCAATAATAATCCATTTCATTATATTAATAAATATTTTTGCAGTCCTTTGATGTTGAGTATATATATAATTCGTAAATATATAACGGTTTAGCACACCGCTTATTTTGGATGGTTGCTGGTTCGATTCCTTGCACGGTACAAATACTTGTAGTCATGAGTATGATTGCGGTCTGGGTGTTTTCTATGTATGTACCTATATTCTGTATGTATTTACAAATAAAATGTATTTCAGTATTTATATCCGACATTTAGTACCCATAACACAAGCTCTATTAACCTTGGGACTAAATGTCACTATGTGAATTGTTTAGGGATATTATTGTTTTAATATTACTCCATTATTTACTTCGTAATAACCGCAATGCTCTATAAAGTAATATTGGCAAACAAAAATGTACCATTATTCAAAAATGCTATAGTATAATGTAATATAAATACATTACCAAGAAAAAATATCACCTGCCAGCTCAAGAAATATTTCAATTTCACACATAACAACTTCTTATTTTAGTTTCCACTCGAGATGCTGATATAAGCTCCTTTACACATTTGTGTTTTGTTACACCGGGATTATATTGAGTATGTGGGACAATCTTGGGATATGAAATATATAGGACACAACATATACAAATACAACATTCAAATTATTGTATTGTAGTAAACCTCTTTGTTTATACTTTTTATAAACTTCTTTTTTTCAATGTCTCTATCATTGTAATGTTCCTTTGCTTTTCATTCTAATTGAAATCTTCTATTTTTAAATATCCCTTTATGTTCATTTGTTTCGTTTCTTAATTGATCTTTTCACTATAACCAAAAGAAGCAAGTAACTTTCATTTATCCAATTATCTAATTTTATTTCAATCACCGTAATAATGAAATGAGAAATCCTTAGTACTTGTCAACACTATGTAAACCATTTGAAATTTATTTATGTAGTACTGTACTCTAATTAGGTAATAATATTACCTAACAGATAATAATATTACCTAATTAGAGTACAGTTTAGAACGTAAAATACACTATTGAAATTGCTGTTTTATACCTACATTACGAAAATAATGTAGTATTCAGCCTTTGTGGACTAAATAAATACTGAATTTGGAACATAAAATACACTGTTCTGTGTAAAATATACAATTGCTGCATTGTATAATTATTTAGTACCTGTTATTAACATTGTGTCATGGATATAAATACGAATATTGGCTAGGTCACACTAGACGTGGTGAGTAGTGAACTGGACAATATTGAGGTTATTGTACGTAGGTGTTACTAGTTTGTTAACTACTATCATCAAATTATCCAATCAAAATATTGCAACGTTGTACTCACGTTATAGAACATTTTATTTGCATGATCATGATAGGCTGAGAATGATAGGCGATATTCACCAAGGATTAATGATGATGGTTTCAATGAAGGTCCGTGGAGGTCCTAATAGGGTACAGGTAACTAACAATAGGCTACAATCACTTATTAATAGCAATCTTTTAGTCATTGTCTATAGTCATGGATACACTAAATAGCGTTTAGTGTAGCAAACTCTTAAGAATTCAATTCTAACTAGTCAGACCAGAGGTAGACTATAAAATGTCCCTGCATGTATACTCAGTTGCACCTGGTTCTGCCTCTTGACTTTCTATTTGTAGAGTTCAGATAAGGCATTGAACTTTAGGCAGGACACACCTTAATCCTCTTAATGCATGCACAATGCAATACAATGCATAAAACATAACGCAGGTATTCCCGGTGTCACATTATGTCACGTTATGTCCGTGGTTCTATTCTTGTTCAATAGTTACCTAGCGCTTACTGTAAAGTGGGCAAAGAACTTGTTTGACATTCTAATTACATAAAAAATCTAGCGAATTAATTGCTTATTTTATACAAAACATAATATTTCATTGGTTAAGCCATGAAAACGTGAAAACATTACAAAAAAGACTCACATTCAAAATAATGTACGTCAACATTGATATTACTACCACAAATCTTTACCGTACACATTTCGTAGCACATATAAAGCCGCTTGAAGTTTCAACATAAATATACATTCCGCTCGTATTTCGCTATATAACGCACAAGATTTCTATTCTAAGCGCATGAATATCGTTAGACACACATGCTGATACCCTGTCGCCAATAAATATTGATATGTCCTACGTATCGGCGATCGTCTCATGGATATTTTATTAGCTTTCCCTATATTGGATCGCACAAACACAATTGTATATGTCAAATTTGGAGAACAAACACATTTTTGAGTAGCCAAGCAGTTTGCTTTCAAAGCTGTGTTTAGATTATACGGATAGATTAAACAGTGAAATTACAATATAAAAAACATGATATTTTAGTCCCTTGGAATAGTAATGAATAAGTCGTATCTCACGTACTGTTCTTGTATATAAGTGATGAATTTCCGCTTAACGTCAGGTGGACTGTTAGTTAGCCATATTTTTTTTATTGAGTGTTTTGGGTTATTGTTAGGTCCTAAGACCTGTATGTAACACTGCGACCTGCATAAATCTATTGTCTCACACTTTTATTACCCATTACAGTTACTTAAAAGAAGAAAACGTAATCAGAATATAAAATCCATCTATATGGTTGAAAATATTAAGTATTAAGCCTCAATAGCGATAAAATCGGTGTGACAGACAGCGGGCTGTACTATTTTATCATATAGATTGGTGTTGTCTATATTTGGCAGTCCATTAATACATTCATCCATCTGCCGGGCTGTCATACTGTTTGCCACTACTGTAATATGAAAAAAATATGAGCGTAATTATCAAATCTCTCTGAGAGTGGGCTGTATTTGCTATATGAAAAAATAAAAATATACAAAAACGGCTACAGTAAATATAATTTGTATTTTATTTATGTATTACTAGCTACTCGCCCCGGTTTTGTATATGGACATGTATTATATATATAAACTTTCATCTAGAATTACTCTATCTATTAAAAAACCGATTCAAAATCTGTTGCATAGTTTTAAAGATTTAAGAATACATAGGAACAGACTGCTACAGCGACTTTATTTTATACTATGTAATCATATAATATAAAATGGAATTGTTATTGTAACTATGTACAACATTAAAAAAAAATACGAGCTGAGTTTCTTGTCAGTTCTTCTCATCTCGAAATCATTCCGAAATGATGGTAGTATTGACATATCATAAGAGTCTGTAATAGACCTAAACGAATAAAGATATTTTGGATTTGAATTTGGATTTGGAATTTCTCTGATAATTTTTTGGAGTTGTAAATTACAGATATGAATAAATTGTGTACACTTTGATATCTGTCGACATTTTTTTTTCGGTTTCATGATTCATGATATCATCTAATATCAAACATCGAGTGTGAAGAAAGATATAACCTAACTCTGATTTAAAATGGTTGTAAAATGCAATATTTGTAAAAGTCTACAAATTTAAAAAGTACCTACTTTCTATTAGCAAAACTTACAAATGTAAAGGCAATCTTATACTTGAAACTAAATATTAATATATAATAATGAATATAATTGAAATGTATTATAAAACGTAATAAGACACTCATGCTATCTCGTTCTATTTAGCATTACACGAATAACACATTATGAACAAATTCACACTTGACACTAATATTTCCGCGCCACATGAATAATAATTCAGATACTAATCTGTAACATAGATTGCAGTAGTGATTTATAACTGTATATCTCTGATGAGTTGAAACTACTGCTCACGATCGATTGAGCTATTATCTCTCACGCCAACCGTGTCGTCAAGAGCAAACGAACATATATCTATAGATAATACTAATCAGTATCTACACCTAACCGTGAAGGATTTTTAATGTTCGTTACTAAATTAAGCTTAAAAGTAGTTTATTTAATATAACAATGATTGTTTGAGCTGAGAAGTAATATAGTAGGTTAATAATGGAATAGATGGATGGATGTATGTATAAAATTAGATTGGTATTATTTTGGGTACTCTTTTCTTAATCAAGGCAATTTTTATACACATCCACGATACATTAACGGTTACAATTTCATATAAATTTCAATTATTACATGAGAAAAGTGAAGTTAGTACTAATACTCATATGTCATGCTTGTTTTTGGTCTATGCTTAAAAACTAAAAGAAAATACATCAATTCCATTATTTAAACACTGATAAAATTCTATTAACACGGCAGAACATTTTAAAAACTAGAATTAAGAAATGGTTCAACATTAGATTAAATTATTGCATATCATACACAGAAAAATATACTCAGACTTATTTTATGATGTTGGTTAAAAATGGACATTGTATTATAACACTCTACTTTTTTTAATCAGGTATAATTAAATTTATTCTACTATTCTTTGAAATGAAAAAGAATTGAAGTCAATTTAAATGCGAAAAGCTAAAACTTGACTTGTTAGATTATGCAGTTCGGGGTGAAATCTAAAAGAGATTCACTTGTAAGAAAGAAATTCGACTTAGATTGGATTCTATGCTATAAAAATTTCTTTTATTTAATATAACAATGATTGTTTGAGCTGAGAAGTAATATAGTAGGTTAATAATACGTTCTATAGTTACTTCCATTAAATAAAAGATTAGTTAAAACATTTTTTTTTATGTATAAAATATACGCAGAGTCGTTTAGTTTCAAAGTTATCAAAGCTTATAATCGTGTATCAGTCAGGTCGTTTTCACTGTAATAAAATATATTTTTAAGTATCTACTTAAATATAATATATACCTACGCATACCAATACCCAATGATATTCAGAAAAATAATTGTTTGTATGATGTTGGGAATCGATCGTAAAAACTGTTGAAACCACATGGTGGCCACCATTAAAACCAGTTCTAGACTATTAAAAATCGACAATTGGTAAATGGCATCAAATATTTGCTTTTGTCTATAAGATTAATTACCGATGTACTCTTAAACCAAAGCCCGACTGAGGCCCCTTTTGTTCCAATGCGCGGTGTTTCGGACGTGCCGATAAATATTGATGACTCTCTATTGGCACTTAATTTAAGATCCCAGGATGTCCCTCCATCCACTCGTATAGGATACCATTGTCTATGCGTCTTATTTATTCAATAGATGACTGGGTTTCAGTTGCAATTGGGAGTGTTTCAATGCTGATCTCTGAGTATAAATCTAATGAACACTGTGATAATAATATAAGATTTAAAAAACCCGCAGTAGGCCTATGGAATGCCTGAAGGCTAATGGATTCCTATGCTAGTTCGAATCTCGGCTCAGACCGTTGTAATTTCTTTAATTTTTTTAATTAGAAAACGTTAAACATTCAAAAAACATACAAATGTTTAGTGCTCATCTTTTGTTTTATTGTTATTTTCCTAAGTTATTAATATGAAAAAAACTTTAATAAAGTTAAAAGGGGTTTGTAGCTGTTGTATTTTTTATCCAATAAGATAATGGAATCGTATGTAATATAGCTTTATGTCATAAATAATTGATCTATATCTAGGATTTTATATAGACGTATGGATATTTATTAATAAAGGGATTAATAACCCCCTTTTATACCATTCAACGGTCACAACAAAAGCTCATATTTTATCCGTAGATGCCAGGCACAGTGTACATCAGTATATATATTAAAGTCTGTAGTCTTAATAAATATATTTATAACTATATGCAAGCACAAAAATATTTTATTGACAGAATAAAATAACAATATTATATACTTTGCCATCGTTGTCATAGAATTGATCTACAATCTAAATATATATAACTCAAAGGTGACTGACATAGTGATCTATCAACGCACAGCCCAAACCACTGGTCGCATCGGGCTGAAATTTGGCATGCAGATAGATGTTATGACGTAGGCATCCGCTAAGAAAGGATTTTGATTAATTCAACCCCCAAGGGGATAAATAAGAGATGAAAGTTTGTATGAAACGTGGTCAATTTTAAACCGATCGGGTCTTTGCATGTATAAAGCTACTATGGCGTAGACATCCCCTAATAAATGTAAAGATTTTGATAAATTCCACCCCTAAGGGGATAAAATAGGGGATGAAAGTTTGTATAAATCTTTTTATATTTTCGACTGATTGAACTGAAATTAAAGATTGGAGCTACTATGATGAAGACGTTAGCTTAAATAGGATATTGATAAATTCAACCCCCCTGGGGACAAAATAAGGGATGATGCAGGATGTAAATGTTTAATTTGAACCTATCAGTACCTAATGGAATGAATAAATTAAGACGAACAAAATAAATTTTAATTCTTTAGGTTACTTTCATTTTAGAAAAATAAAGTTAAATTTCACGCGAACGAAGTCGCGGGAACAGCTAGTTTAATATATATGTACATTATTAACGAAAGCCGGAATGCCACTCCATCATCTTTCATAAAAAAGCCGTCACTTCTTTCATCAAACTCTCTTTCTTCCTACTAAAATCCATAATATAATACTTTTTATGGTATATGTTGTTGAATAACCGAGATAGACAAATATAATATATACCATATACACCTAAAACATTTTCATCAGGGGCGCAAATCAAAGTATTAAAACGCTCTTCGTATTATGTGTTTCAGAGTAATTAAGAATAGTCTTCTTATAACCCATGCAATATATATACTTATGTATATAATATCTTTTTATTTAGAAAAGGTAAGTAAATAGAAAAAAACAAAGTAGTTTGTATAAACTAATTCAGTGGCCAGGCAGTTTGCTTTGTTAGCTGCATTTCTGAAATATGGCAGTTAAACTACAGGTAACGAAGCTATTATCAAATAAAGTTATTTAGCATTCCGGAATGGCAACGCATGAGGGATGACAAGGGTGTCACGTGATGATGTCCGCGGTGCTGTTCATGTAGGTAAATAGGCGATGGTATCCATTTACCATTAAAGGAGTCATTCAATTGTTTTCTGTTCCAGTTACCTAAACATAGAAATATTTTAATGCTTTTATTTTATACTTACATATATAGAAACAAATCAATAATAATAGCCAGTTCCAAGTTAAGGAGAATTTGTGTCATTGGTACCAGACAATTGATGTAAGTAAATATTTATATATATGCGTAATAAATATAGAAAACCAACAACCAGACTATGTTATATGTATATATAATCAAACCCGCGACGATCGGAAGTAAGACGGTGTGCTAAATCGCTAGACCACCAACGCCTTCAATGTTCTCAGATCAATATAAATATTTCATAAATACAACGATATATATTGTGTGGGAGATCGAATCCGCGACTGGATAATAAAGTAATATGCTAAAACGCTAGATCACTCAGGTTGTCAGTATTGTATGCAAAGCGAGGGTACAACATGTGTAATATACAATGCAAATAATACAATGTAATATAAATTTCAT